CGAGAGCTGGGGGGGCGGGAAATGCGTGACTTGGCTCCCTTTCAGGAACGGTGGGGCCGGGAACAAGAGAGCGGAGAGCGGAGAGCGGTGAAGGGTAGGTTGCCCTCCACATCCTCACATCGGTCTGTTGTTTTTAGGGCTTATTTTACCACCCTCCCCCCCTCCCTGACTTGTGTTGGGTTCGTCCAACTGCCGCTGGGGGGGGGGGCGGGATTTCTCGCCCGAGTCTCCTTTGACTCATTGGTTCAAGGAGATGCTTGTCATTGGTCGCCGAACCAATCAGCTGACACGAGGGGCCAAGCGAGGAAAGATCCACGCGGGCTGGAACGAGAAGGAGAGTTCCCCTCCGCCCCCAGGGCAACATGGATCGGCCCAGACTGCCAGGGGCCTGTGGGTGTGGAGGGTACCTAGGTCACTTAGGTCCATATATATATATATACGGGTCATCTTTATCAAGTTTATACTAGAAGATGTATATATATATATAACTATATATATAGATATATAGGGGTCGTCCATATCAAATTTATGCTAGAGGATGTGTGTGTGTGTGTGTGTGTATCTATATTTTGTTTTCAAAAAACCCAAAAACTTAGGCCCAGGTTCTCCTAAGCTATTTAGGTGCCCAACTTAGCTTGAAAACAGATGCTTTGTTATAGAAAGCTTGTTAGAAACATCACCCCACCTCCAAGTTGGTCTGATAAAAGATGTCAGCTCAAACCAAGACTGTCACTTCTGTCCCAGTCGTTCTCATTGATTTTGGTGGGAGGTGAGTACCTGAACACCTCTGAGGAGTCAAGATCTTTTCCCTGAAAAGCCAACTATCCAAATCGTGCCTTCAGAGCTCATACGTGACCACTGTGTTGTATTGGCCTCCCTCTTCGTGGCGTATGGGTGGGGTATTTATTTCCCCCTTTTTTAAAGGGTTGTTCAGAAGTGTTTCCCAATCACTCAATATTTTCAAGAGAAGTCTTAGCTGCACAGTCCCATGCAGCCTTTGTGAAGCCTTCAAAGACGGCAGAGCTGTGAGAGCTGAACTACGGGCGCGAGGGCTTTTACAAACAGGAGAATGCAGAAGACGGAGCTCCAACTCTAGAAGTTCTGGTTCAGAGATGATACCTTATATTAAGCCAACTAAGAAATGGCAAAAAAAATATCTTTTTCTGCAAGCTTTTGGGCATACGTGCCCTTCCTTAGGCTCAGGGAAAATTAAAGAGGGTAAAAAGTCCCCATAGGTAGAAAATAAACATCATTTTTGCACAGAGGAAGCTGAAGGTGGAAGTCTGTTCCTCTGGGTCCATGAAAGTGTCTTTGTGAGTTGCTTTTTGATGTGTAGGTATGGCAGGAAGGGTGCATGTGCCTGAAAGCTTGCAGAAAAATATTTTTTTACCTTTTATTAGACCAACTAAGAAATCACACCATCTCTTGAGCCAAGAGTTCTAGAGTTTTGTATTTCTTTTTTGTCACAGACCAGCATGGCTACCAAATACTTCCCTGAAACATGGAAGATGCTGAATTTTAGCCAATTTTGGATTTAAACTTCATTGCTGAAGAACAAGAAAGATGTCTACCCCTCCCTGCCTTTCTGCCATCTGACACTACCAGGGAGGGAATCCTGCCTGATCTGCACATCAAAGAGCAACTCACAAGGACACTCTCACGCACCCAGAGGAACAGACTTCCACCTTCAGCTTCCTCTGTGCAAAATGATATTTATTTTCTCCCTATAGGAACTTTTTGCCACCTTGAATTTTCCCTGAGCCTGAGGAAGGGTGCATGTGCCTGAAAGCTTGCAGAAAAAGATAATTTTTTTGCAGTGTCTTAGTTGGTCTAATAACAGGTATCACCTCTGAACCAAAAGTTCTAGAGTTTTGCATTTTTTTGTCTCAGACCAACACAGCTACCAAATACATCCCTGAACCCAGAGCTTAGCACTTACCTTTTTTAGGTTTTGTACTCAACAGTCTGCCTCATTTAACCACAAGGTGGAACCCAAAGCACATGTATAGCTCGCTACATCCATGACACTTTCAGCTTTTCAAGTAGGAATATGTATTAAGGGTGACAGTCCAGTATTCTATAGTTTTAAGAAACCTCTTGAAAAGCTTTTGAGACATGAGGCAGCTCTCCTGTTTCTCACCTTCTGAGGCCACTATTTATTTAATCTGAATCATTATTTTATTCCATAATTTTCATCCTTCTATTGAGAGAGGTGGTTAGCCATACTAGTCCACAGAAGGCAGGGCAGGGCGGAATCTTTGTAGTCTCTACAGTGCTAGCTTGACCTGCCTTCTGCTATTCTATAGAGGTGAGGTGAAACAAGTCCACCTCCTCCAAACCCGGCTTGTAGTTCTAGGAGCATTAAAATGTTAAATTAATAATTTTTGTCTGGATTTCCAACCTGATGGAACTCCATTAGAACTGAATGTCCAGGTCCATGGCAGGGATTTGAAACAAAGCTTGAATATTTTCTGAACTGCACCGCTCCTTTCACAGTCAGCCGACCTATGCCTTTAGGCCAGGGGTGTCAAAGATATGGCCCACAAGCCAGACCTGGCCCATACAGCCCTATCATCCAGACCCCGGTGCTGCCCTTGGGTCCTGAGTTGACCCATAGGCAGCAGGTAGTGCGTGCTGGACCACCCCTGCATGCAGGACCTGGGACACAAGCTGCACATGTTTGTGCCTGTTTGGGCTGGGCTGGGATCCATACGGTACACAGAGCCCATCCTGGCTAGTCTGGGGCAGGTGCTGTATCCAGTATATACTGGATCCAGTATGCAGGGGGCAGAGGCAGGCAGGGGGGAACGTGGGTCTAATCTGGCCTGCAGGGTCAGTCTTCACTCTTCATATGGCCTGCAGACCAGCCCTACACTATTCATCCAGCCTGCAGAGCCAAGCCAAGTGTGTTTGACACCACTGCTTTAGGTAAGTTATAACCAGTGCTCCCTGGGTTTGCATTTGTTTTCCTCATGCCAAGCACTGAAGACTTCACGTTCCTAGGACAGGTGCTCTCCAGAAGATCAAGCTCTAGACACAGCAAGCATTGTTTTACTAAGCAAGGCATTGCAGCAGAATGTAGGGCAAGTCGGACCTCATAACTGCGCCTCAGCATGCTTTCAGGATGTGCTGCCCTGCTCCACCTGCTGGGTCTTGCTCTGAAGAATGAGTCTGTTCCTTCTAACCTCAGAGTCCTGGGGTGCAGCTGCAATTCTTTTCTATGGTTTTCTGGGAAAGGAAGCCTTTTAGAGGAAAACATAGATACTTTTATTGCGGAGGGTAGAAGGGGAAAAATGGTGTTTTTCTGTCTCTCTTCCTGTTATCTAAGACTACCCTCTTTTCTCACCCAGCCTTGCCATATTCCCCCTCCTTTCCCCCTCAAGATTTAAACTAGCCTATAAAGATGGGCTTCCCAGGAAGGACCACATAGTAGAATGTCCAAGTTTTAATTTTCCCATTTTTCTCTAATCCAAAGGGAAAAATTCCATTTTGCCAGACAGAACAGGTAGGCTGATAAAGGAAGAAAATACCAGCTGCTGAGATCCTGGCTGATTATTGTAACTGCACTGTTGGACTTGCCATTCCAAAAAGCCCTTGTATACTTGTGTCAGCCTTTGGCATTTCTTCATATTTTTACCATTATCTAATCAACCACTATAGAGTTAGAACCATTCTGATAACAGTCAGAGTAATAAGAGCCCTACTCCTGCTCCCATTGCAATCAGCTTCCTATTGACTTCAGTGGGAATGGGCCCTTAATTACCTAGGAACCTTATTTAAATTCTCTATAAATAAAGTCTCTTGTGACCCTTGTAGCTCTTATTTGGAGAACTCAAGACAGTCCAAAGCCAAAACCAACCAGACTGATTTCCAAAGGGAATTTATACATTTGATACAGCTTGGCACAATAATTCTCTTCTCCGCAGACAACACCACAAAGAAAAGAGGATTGTACAGGCCTGGGGACGGGAACAGATAGCAGCAGGACTCTAGTTTGATCTTCACTGCTAAAGGACTTGGAACGTCATACAAAAGGTCTGACACTTCTGGGACCTTCACTAAGGAAACTGTTTTTCCATCCCATAAAACTTTGTTTAAAAATGTTCTTCTTCCAAAGTAGGATGAACCTGGGACCCAAGAGAGAGAGTGCACACAAGAGACAGACCAACTTCATTAAAATAATTCCCAACAGCTCCAGATTCTACACAGATGCATGTTGTCTGCTGATGTCAGAGCCATGCCCTCTGTCTCCTGTGCCTGACTCAAACACCTCTCCATGGGGGAAGCTATGCCATAGGTGTGCCACAGGCTGGAACTCTGTAGGCATACCTTTTATTTTTTCAGAGGTTTCCTTGGTTGTATTTTACAGGATACTGTAACAGCGATTCCTTTGGGATTTATCATGCTCAAGAAAAAGTGCCAGGCATATAGATAAAACAAAATATATTTTTTCTATATTAACCACAGTAAATGTTTCATAGAGTATGAGTTTAAGACTTTAACACATTATTTTAGGCTGATTATATTACTTAGCATGTGAGATGCTTGGCGCACAAGCAACTCTTTGTTCTGCGTTTATACAGCACCTAGCACTGAGGTCTCAATCTGTGAA